AACTTTATAAAAATTTACATACGCAAAAGATGGAAACGACCGATCAGCCACTTTTGGAAATAAAAACAGAAAACTAAAAACTCAAAAGCATTTTTAAAAACGCCAAAAGGTATGTTTATAGTACTTTAATAGTAAATCAAAAGCTAACTGTAATTTATAAACAGCACCGGACTTTTCAAGTATATCTTGTGGCGATAAATCGGAACCTCGGAGTTAATACTGATTGAAAGTAGTTACACCACATAAGAAACACGCATTTTTTTGTTTATTTTGCTGTTACTCAACTAATTTTAACGAGATAAGGTGCAGAGTACCCGTGATTATACAAGCTTCCCACTGTATAAAAAATATAAAAAAAACAACCTGAATTATTATTGTCGAAAGCATTCGAGTATAGCAATTTTTCATAGTATTTTCCGATAATTACGGTACACACTCGAATATTAAAACAAGCGACTAACTAGTCCATTGTCTTTCTCTTTGTGTTAAACAAAAAATATAATATACATGTATATTATAGATATACCATTGCCAAAGCATCGAAATAATAAATTTCTATTTTGATTTTTTTTGGATATTTTGCATTTTTAATTGAAACGGAACACGCTGTTTTGTATTCTGTTCCAATTTGTAATCTTAATGAAACATTTCACTTTAAGGTGACAACGGAGTCAATTATTACTGAAAATACCTAAAATGAGATTCTTTGCTTAGTAGATTTATCAACCTTTTCTGAACACATTCGTGATTTAATTTTGGAAGCAGTTAGTCCAAAAAATGTGTTTTTAAACGTTTTAAAACGGTACCTGTACCATTTTTATCTGCTATTCGCGTAACCTGTCAATTATCGATAACGCTCCGCCCCCTGTTGAGGCATCAATGAGGGAAATCGGTAGTTCCATATATCCGTGAATTACCCGTCCATACTGGTCCATACTACTCGTAATTCATGTATCGTACAAATACCGTACATCTTTTATGAATATCGTCTACCTTTTATTAAGTATTTTTATAAAATAAGAAATTGTCGGCCAATGTACGTAACATAATGTATGAAACATAAATAATTAAGCATAGCGGCAAATCGCACGACCACGGGTTGATTTAAAATATAGTTGCTAAAATATCCATAATGTGTGAAAATAATTTGTCTGTCCCGTTAATCTGATAGATATTACATTGAGTTTATGGACTTTTGTACGGATTCATCGGCTTGCTTTACATTCAACCTCGTTTTCTAACAATGTCAAGTAAAACAACAACAAAAACAGACAACATTTTTTATGTGAACGCCTATATGACTTGTGGTAAGGTGTCCCTGACTAATTTCTAAACCATTTTAGATTGTTTAAGGATGATCATTTCTCTATGAATCAATAAAAAAAGATATTAATATATACTATCAGTGAATGCTCTGAATAAATTGTTCGCCAGTAAATCGAACACAGTACTAATAAACCTGGGACAAAGTATGGAATTTATTGTATATCCCAGTAGAAACTGGATATCTATGCCGTACATAGATGATTTTCATGATAAAAGAAGTCATAAAGGTCAGATCATAATGATCGAGTGATACCTTCTTCTTCTATTATAATAATTATGTCAAGCATTTATTTCAATTTGGAGGAAGAAATATATAATATCTCGTTTTTATTTTTACATTTACCATGGACTTTAAAAGACCATCAGAAGCTCAGTTTTTTGTTATTTTAATTTATATTTTAACGGAATTTCATACACGAATACACAGACAGAGTGACTCTGGTATAATATAATAATAATGCTGATGATAATAATAATAATCTTCAAAAGTGAAACAATTAAATACCCCGCTAGCGGTGCGCAAATACGTTCCATTTCCCCCCCACCGAGTGCCTCAAATTTTACCGAAAGTCACGTGACATGTGCGACCGACAGTAAATCACGTTAAGATTTGAAGAAATTTCTGTTATAAACTGATATTAATCAGCAACTTTTTAATTGGTCAGATGTCACTGGGTCATAAAATGTTGTTAGAGTATGTTAGCGCAACTTGTGACCCTCTCTGGTGCGATATTTGTGTATTATGCAATTATTTAGCGTGAAACGTAGGGGTCCGAGAGAGAACAGCCGATTTATGACACTTCGTTTGATGCGGGTCGGACTAACTTTGAATCGGCATAACTTTTTTAATAATCAAGCAATTAACATGCGGTTTTAAAGCACATGAAAGGGAATTTATTTACGGAGGGAACCGTGTCAGGGATTTTTTGTTTGCTCGATCAGCGACTTAATTATCTTTAATTACGTAATATGTATGGTGAAAAAAGTCGCATAAAATGTTTGACGTTACGTAATATTTTTTTGAGAAAAGATAGAAAAAATTTGAGACACGGTTCCCCAGATATTATAAGTATGTTTATTTTCCAAAAGTTTTGATGACAAAAAAATAAAAAATGACTTTGATATGACGATTTAAAATTTTAGGATTTTTATTAAAAATCAATCATTTACAAAGGCATTTTTTTCAAATATGTTATTTTTTATGTTGATCAACGACATTTAATGCACAAAGATTAAATAAATAACAATTATTACTAAAATAAGTTGGTTTAAATGACATTTATGTGAGTACCACGGAAAGTGTCTGTTGTCACCTTAAAGTGTCATGTATATTTGTTTGTTAGTGTTTTTATTCGGAATGATATTAATTATTTATATGTGATTATACCTATAATTCATGTAGTATTCTAAATAATCCCCTACTCCCGGCATTGTAAATACAGTTCGGATACTATATTTGAAATACATAATTAATATATCATGCAGTTTGTGCAGACTTACATTTTTGTTTTGCCTCTCTTTCTAAAGAAAGTAGTTGTGAATGTGAAAGTATTAAAATTGTTATTGTAGCAAAATTTTGACTTTCATACAAATTACTAAATCATTAACACCGTACTTGATTGGCAAAAATAAACAGAAGCAAACGATAGTTCAGGTTAATGATAATGGAAATAAAAAAAAAAAAAATATATATATATATATGTATATATATATATATATATAAATAAAAAGCTTTAAAAAATAAAAGCATTTCTATGGCTTTATGGGCCTTTATGAAAGGATTTTTGCGCGTTAGAAACAATTGTAGCTGCTTTTTTAAGAAACGCCAAAATAAGGTTAATAGTACTAGCTATCAAGATAAAACCAATGATTTGTACATATAAAATACTTAAATGGCACCCAATGTTTCTAGTATAACGTGTGGCGCACATTTTTACCCATTTTACGAGGAATTCAATACACACAAGATTTCTAACTAGTTCTGTTTATTCTCGTTGTTTGAAATAAATATATATAATAAATCTTATAGATTTACTTTTGCTAAAGAATCGAAATAATGAATTGCTGTTTTGACATATTTTCGTAAAGGTATATTAAGCGCACTGCTTTTTAATTGAAACGTAACACGCTGTTTTTGTTTTGTTTCAACTTGTAATTTATATGAAATATTTCACTTTAAAATGTAGCTTTTTTTTGTTGTTGTTGCGTTGTTTTTTTCGGAAAGCGGATTAATTTTTTCTCATAGATAAGCCTGGGTTCCAGTCTGTTGATTTTTTATGTGCTTCTTGTCGGCAAATCGACATATGAGCCGCGTCACGACAAAACCAACATAATGCGTTTGCGATCCATGCTGTTCGCTTACAACTCTATAACAAGTAGAGAAACTGATAGCGAACAGCATGGATCCTGATCAGACTGCGCAGATTCGCAGGCTGGTCTGGATCCATGCTGGTCGCAAACCCATTATGTTGGTTTTGTCGTGACACAGCTCATATATTGATACTATCAAAACAAGTGATGTTGTGTTATCTATGAGTATCGAGTATGAAATAGCGCGTAAGTTATGAATAAGCAAGAAATATATCAACGCCTGAATCCCAGGCTATACTTATAGATATATATACGTATATCTCATGTAGTTGTAGTATACTAAATAACTCCCCATCACGGGATTGAAATTTACGTAGTTACATTTCGGATTCTTGATTTTTTTAAGGATTAAAATGCATAATTGATACACCATGCAAATTGTGCAGACTGAATTATTATATCTTCACTATATATTGCAGTTTATCTTAAAATTTGATAATTTAAACATTGGTGCTTTTCATCCACGGTACCTTTTGGTTAATGTCGCCTTGTCTTTTTGAACTTTTTTATATTCTATTGACTATTTTTTTTTTCTTTTTAAAATTGTTCTTCCGGAGTCATGACCACGGTAACTCTCCGGTGTCCTTTATTTTATACCATATGGGGTTTCTTCAAAGAAATATCTAAATTTATGTAAAATTTAGTAAAAATATTATGATTTTTCTAAATGTGAAATAAAAAAGATGTGAGTAGATTTATTTTTATTTTATTTTTCGAAGAAATCTTCGGAACTTATTATTAATAGAATAGAGTATGACCGTAAGGGCATATTTGCTCCAAATGAACGATATTTTAGACATTTTATAGGGTATAAGATTTGTATATTCTGTTTCTTTCTACACTTAGAGCGCATGTATAAAGCCCTTATATAAGCGTTTGGCATTAAAAGAAAACAAAAACAATTGAAATGTTTTTTTTTTATTCTGAAAAAGTTATTTAATAAAAATAATTAATGTGCTGAGCATGTATACATGTACACAGTGATCGCCAGCCTTGACGTCACAGAAACGTCGTACGACAGCCCCAACCCTGTCGTAGAGCTGCGACATTTTCTACGACGTCGTAGGCTACGACAAACGTTAATAAAACGGTCTTAACGTTCTGCGACATGTCTGCGACAAAAATCTAGCCTTCGACGTGTCGTAGAGCGTTGATAAAACGGCCCCCTGGTCTCTGCAATCTATTCATCTGAACTACATGCAAATTGTTATCTATTTAAATTTGTTACAAATATTGTTAGAAAGTATGATTTGCAGTTTTTACAATGATAACGACAGTGTAATATTATGGTCAAGGTTGAAATATCACAAATTCAATAAGCGATAATTGCGAATTAACTTACACAGAAAGCAATTTGCTCCACTGTATCCTGTGTTGCATCCATGTGAGCAATCACCATACTCTCTGTCACAAGTAGAATGCAGACAATTAGAGCTACATTTCATGTCACACAATTCTCCGTAAAATCCAGCATTACACCCATTACTGCAATTTCCAGTTAATTGACCGCAATAACTACCATTACAGTTTTTGTCGCATGGTAAACTACACGTTACACCATGAAACCCTTTCACACAGGTAGAACACGTGCGTTCGGAAGAACAATTTAAACAATTTGTTGGACATGTTTGACAAGTATGTCCCCAATGCCTTTGAACACAGGCGGAACAATTTTTCAACCCGTAACAGGCTAAGCAAGTTAGCGGACAGCTTTGGTCGCAGTCCTTTCCATACCTACCATCAATGCACCTATCACATGATTCGCTCCTAAATCCCAACTTGCAGAGGTAACATTCCCCCAAAAATGAACAATTGTTATCTACACAACCTACAGAACACGACTGTGTGCAATTGTTTCCGTATTTGCCCGCTTTGCAAGCATAGCATTTGCCATCAAGAGTGCATTTATTGTTTGCACACCCGATAGGACAGTTTATGTCACATAAATTTCCATACTTTCCTTCTTCGCAACTATCACACTTATCACCAGTAAATCCACTTTTGCAACTGCATTTTCCACTGTCGTCACAGCTATTGTTTAGACAACCTCGCCCACATTCGATATCACAGTTTGTACCATATTTATTGTTAACACATTTCATGCATTTCTCTGAGGTAAAACCAGTTTTACAAGTGCATACACCGTAACTTGTATTACATTGTCCGTTTAAACAACCCCGAGCACATTTGTTTTCACATGTAGTACCGTATCGCCCCGATACACAATCAGTACAATAGGGAGATGAGGTACACGACTTACATTCTGGTTTACATGTCTCCCTACAATCATTGAATAGGTAATTATATTTACCGGCAATACAGGATGTACATATATCTTCCGATATACATGACTTACAAAAACTGTCACATTTGAAATTGCAAATGTCACCATAATAACCGTCCTTACATTTAAGGCACCTAATGTTATCAGTACATGTTTGGCAATTAGTATCACATGCATGGTTACAGCGACTACCAAAATACCCATCAATACATCCATCCAAACAATAATCGTTATTACCATTGAAGTATACACAACGTCCTGGTCCATTTTTGCAGCAGCTGCATCTACCACACTCGTTTAAAGCTATACCTATCGGATGTGGAAAATATGGATAATTAAACAGCGCTTTCTTTAAACAAGTAAGCAAATATTCACTGAGGTTTAAAAGATTAAAACATAACAGTTGAATTTTTTACATAAATGAGCTGGGACACTTTAAACAGAAATCTATGCAAAGATACTTTAGAAATTTACAAATTATAAATTGAAAATCGTATTTTTTTCGTATTTTTTATGCTTTTCTTAGCCCGATTTGAGTAACAAGCGTTTAAACGCTTTTCATTTTCGGTAATTTTTCACAATCTGAACAATTATTCTGGAATAACGAAGTGCGCGAATGATCTGAAATTTAGCACAAAGATAAGAGGCCTATTCCTTCACCAAATGGTACATTTATCTGGAAAAAAATATATTTAGTCCCTTCATATCAAAAACAAAACACAGTGGAGTCCCTTTAATGGATGAAATGTGAACATTAATTTCATAGCATTGTTATGGTTAATTTGATACCTGTTATGTAAAATTCATTTGTGGAATTTTTCAATATATATGATTTAAATAAATTATTTACAGTAATTTGTAAGACTTATACACACTTTCCTTATGAAGTCATAGTGAATTACTTACCATTTGATTCTCTTTAAAATGATATATTCATATTTAAGTCATGTGTTTAAATAAAAACAATACTAAGTACAAAAGCATATAAAGGTCTTCAAGGAAGTACATGTAATAATATAACTAATTGTTTCATAAATGTATTAAAATATTCTCCGATAAAAACTTACCTTTGCTGAGCAAGAGAACCATCAGCATTGTTATAGATAGTAGCAGCATTTTCTTTAAGTGTATGGTTTGCTGAAGCAATATCTGCATTGACAAAAAAGTCGATGAAAAAATTGATAAAAATCTTCGGTAAATATGTCATATACCACGTACGTTTAACAAAATCATCAAAATATCTCACAGGTGCTATAATGCGATACAAGTTTTTTTTGTTGCTATGAGTATATATATCCCAATCAATTGTAAAACTTGGCCCATTATCTACATAAAACGTCCATAACAGCCCGAAGACAGGTGACAAGCTATTTATTTATGTTTACTTATGTTAACACTGGATTTAAACAAATTTGAACAAAAGTATGTCCTCGCTAACAAATTATACAGTGGCCGGTTTTTTTCAATACTCCAAAATCGTCTTCGATGAATGCAAATTTTCATGAAAATGTCTGAAGCTAGTGTATGCAGCTTTTTTCCTTCATTAATCCATAGTATATAGCTCACATAAATGAGAGAAGATATTTTGATGTAATTTGTCGGAGACACGATGGGACTCGCGTTTTCGTTTACTGAACTTTTATTAGACCAGTTAATTTAAAAACGAGGCAGTGTAAGTTATTATTCTAACGTAATAAGTCTTGATCATTCAATGATAGTATTAAAATATTAGAAAGTCGAAGTAAGAATTGTATGTCATAGATCATTGAAATAATTTTTTTTTTTATAAGTGAATGATTTTTAAATAAATTGTCAAATGTAAAGATAAAGATTCAGATCTACAATTTTACGGGCCGGTATACTTTACGCGGCTGTATCTATCTTTTACAATGTTTTTAAATCTTCTAGAACTTCGTAAGTTGCAGGCTTGCGGTACACCTGTTTAATAATAGACAACTTCTTTTAAACTACTTAATATTTCTTAATATCAGCAGATCCAGAAAAAACATCGCACAAATTATTTCTGGATAATATTTTTTAACGTATTTACAATTTTAATCTCGAGAACTGACTCAACATTTATTATGTTACTTTTTTCAAGTTATTCCAATATGATATATTCAGTGTTGATTAAACCATAACATTGTTTGTTAAAATATTAAAGATGCATTCAATTTTGTATTTGATTTAAAAGAAATTATTTTCCCATTTTTTTGACCGCCTCCGTGGTCGAGGGGTTAGAGTCGATGACTTCTAACCCAGTTACCTCTCTGGCGTGGGTTCGATCCCCGGGAGATGCTTTGGTAGTTTAGCGCAGAGGAAGGTAGTCAAGTACTGGTGTAACTCTCCAGGAACGATGGTTAGGAACTACCCGCCTATTTGACTGAAATACTGTTGGGAAAAGGCGTAAAATCAAGCAAACAAAAATAAAATTTCCCATTTTATTATTTTTTTTTTGCAAAAGCAAACACTTTCTGGTATATTGTTACGTTGCAATACTATAAGTACAGTACTATAAATACAAATTGAAGGAATGTTGTAATGTTGTTGTGTTATATAGAAGGCTCAATGCCTAAATAAATTCAATGCTTATAGAGGCGAATCATTTTTAATCACGTGTCAAGACATGTTTTTTTATTTACAAGAAGTACCGAATAGTGCCATGTGTTGCAAAAACACCGACTTGTTTCTTGAAAATTCACGCTCATGTAAAAATCTGAATGTTGGTAACTTGAGTGAATAAACATAAAAAAATGAAATATTATAATTTGATTGCACGATTCCTACCGTTTCATTGACCGTATGCAATAAAGATGGGCGGGTGTGGTTGATGCAGTTCTTATTTTCTAATAACCAATGAATAAAGGAGGTATCGTTCACATAATAACTTGATTGAATTGTTAAAAAAAAGAAAGACAAGTCTTGTTGACCCCCTGTATTTCATTGCCCAAAAACACTTGTAAAAATATAATCATTTCGAGTTATAAAATGTGTAAAATACGCAGGATTTCAGATACTTTTGTTCACACCGATTTCAGTCACATAAATCAGAGCGAGATAATTGTATTGTATCGTAAGAAAAACACTAAGGACCTGCTTTAGATTTATCAAAATAATATAATGTAATAATAATTACGATAATAATAATGATATAAAGTAAATGATGTATACAAATATATAGCCGTTTATTTTAATAAAAAATATGTGTTTGTGTTTCAAAACTCGGCGGCGTAATTTGAAAATCGTGTCTCTTACAGCACTATAATATAAAAAATAATGTGAAATTTTGTTAACATTATCTTCTTTTTAGGTGAAAACTTGTATAACAAGCTAAATGATACAAGTAATAGAAAGAGCATCGAAGGACGAGGCTATCTGATTTGTAAGAGGGGGCGTAGCCCCTATCTTTTGTAATAAGGAAAACATAAAAACACGTTCCCTGTTGTCACAATATGTCCCCCAACTACAACAACAAAAAAGCAACAAAAAAACGACTGAACAAGCAACTTGATATGATATTTCTATCGTTACCCCTTTTTTTGTCGTCACAATAAGTATAACCCAGAAAACATGATCCAGTCAAAGCGCATGCTCTGTAATGCGGGTAACTACTACCTGCATTCCAGGTAACGCATTGCTTATGTATAGGATTTAGCTCTGCCACATTTTCAACAGAAAAGACCCAAAACTATGATACAATACATTTAGATATTTTCATGTATTTACACCAATATTTTAACCAACATATAAGCTAGCAAAGGTAAGTAGCGATATTCCTATGTTGTGGTGGAAATTGCCGACTGCGTTACGCGGTAAAAACAAATCGACTTCTTTTCATATAAGAATATCTTAAAATACTGTTTTATTGTGTATTGCAATCTACGTATCAAAATCTATTAAAAACAGACGAGCATACCTATTTTGGCCGGAAACCTTTAAAGACCCATATTTAATAAATCTTTAAAACCTTCCAGAGTAAGGGGCTATTCTAAGAGATTGCCGTGTTGTCTTAAAAGTATATGGCTGATCTGTTAAATTAAATAATAAAGTGTTTTTGCCATTTAGTTTTATATTTATAGAATTTTACAATATAAGATACCATGACATGTATTTGATATTTGATTTGGCATTATTAAGTCAATAACTACTATAAAACTCATATAAAGAAAATGAAACACCTTTTCTCTGCAAGAGGGATCTGTAAGATACATATATAATGTTAAAAGAAAATGAAGTGAGAAAAATGCTAAGCCCACACCCTTAGTGTCAATGTAATTGACAGTTATTCTAGTCAATTTGATATTAAGCAAAGGAAATGCATTATGGGGAATCATACTTTGATCTATTTTTACATTACAAGATTATTGTAGAGTAGAGAAGTGTTTTATTATGAATACTTTTAAAAACAATATTTTGAAATTATATTACATTTAAAATAAATACAGAATCGATAAAGTTTTTTTTAACTTAAAATGAATTTATCCCTCAAAATATACAGGTATAACATTTGAGTTAGAAAAATACATTATGCTGTATATTCACCACTGCGGTCTGAACTTATTTTATTAGGGCCAATATATAATGAAACCTAACACATTTGAATTCCATCACATTTGATATTTTTCTTACGTATTTTAGACATGATTAACAAGGACATTCTTGTGTCGAGGTATTTTAATCAGGGACGTACCTAAGTAGAAATTGTGCCTGTTTTGAAAGACGGACGACATTGAGCATGTATTAGTTTTGCATCGAGTTGGGTCATATATAAACTTCAAAATAGGCTCTTCTTTCTTCTACGTAGGAGTTACAAAGTCCTAATTCGGCATTTTAATCTCCTTTGAAGGAGTTGTTCCTTTCTTTAAAACAGTGTGTATTAGCACCAACAAACGCATGTAGATTAGTTATCTAGCTGTTTAGGGTATGTTTATATGTCCAATAGACAAAACTCCATTTTTGTTAAAGCTGAGTAATAAATAAAGTTCAAAAGTTAAGGATGTTTTCTCTTGAAACCTATGCATTTCTTCCGGGTTGTGATGCATGTATATTTGTTAAATAAATGTGAAATATCAACCTCTCGAAATAAGCTTTCATTTTGACTTTATACAATAAGTTGAAATCTAAAATAA